GCAACAGCAGAAAAAAGAGCTGACCAGAGGGGGGCGCTGCTGTTTAGTGTCTCCATCAGCAACTGGAAGTGATCCCAGGCTACGAGGAGCTGCTGGCGGACATCGTCAACATCTGCGTGGATTACTACGAGAACAAGATGTATCTGACCCCCAGCGAGAAGCACATGCTCCTCAAGGTACAGACGCTGTGGCCACGCACCCAGTGGTCTGGGCGTGCCCTCTCACCTCCTCTTATTTTAAATCATTTTTTAAAAAACGGTATATATTTTTTCTTACTTAAACATGGATATATATCTACTGCACAGAATGTTTTGTAACCTGTTTCTCCCCCTTTAACATGTCATCTACACCTTTCCAGACATTAAGGATAGTTCCACAGTGTAATTTGTAGTGGCTGCCAAGGATGCTATTCTATGGAGATATTGTTAGTTAACCAATCCCCTCTCGTTGGATATTTGTTTGCTAAGCTGCATTGAACACTCTTAGAGCACAGCCTTTGTGTACATACCCTTGTCGAGTCTGACTTCTAGGAGGAGAAACAACCAACTCGAAAGGAAGGCAAAGTCTTCAAGCATTTGCTCTGTTTTGCCAAAATCGTCATATTTGATCCATCAGTTTACAAGTCTGATTTTTAAATTATCAAGTAATATTGATCATTGTAGAAAAATCTGAAGTAAACAGAGAAGCACAAAAAATATTAATCTCTCACAATCTTTCTCTCCAGAGGCAACACTTTTAGCATTCTTATGTATTTCTTTCTCATTTTTCTATGCTTATATATTTTCAACAAATGCAGTATACATAAATGATGCATATGTACGTTTTATCCCTTTTCATTAAATGTGTTGGAATATTAATGCCGTCGTATGGGTGAGCTTTCCTTTTTTTAGTTATTTTATTGTTAGCTGCTCAGGATGTTCCTAATTCCCCTCTGACAGCTGTCGCACTGAGATGAGCAGCCTCCACATTCTTTTTACACACGGCATAGCCCCATTTGGTTCTTTCTTCCCCGGAACCTCACCTTTCAAAGCTCTCTGGTGGCTTTGCTTTTTCCTCCTCTCCTCCTTGTCACTCTGGCTAGTCTAAGCAGCCCAGGCCTGTTGACGTGCCCTTCCTTACCTTTCCGTGGCACCTGGATGGAGTTTGCAGGGAGTGTGGCATTGTGACTTGTTCACTCTGGCTTCCTCTGTACAGTCAGACTTTTTTGTGTTTTTGTTTTTGTTTTTTAACTTTTCCATCAGATGTGATAGGCTTCTGTGCTGTGCCCCTTCTCACTCCAGGTGATGGGTTTTGGTCTCTACCTGATGGATGGAAATGTCAGTAACATCTACAAACTGGATGCCAAGAAGAGAATCAACCTCAGTAAAATCGATAAATTCTTTAAGGTCAGCACTGGGGCTGAGGCTGGGGCTGGGCAGGGTCCAAGGGGCTGTCTCTCAGTAGCAGATTCCGCTACTAAAGGCGGCCATTCTATCCTCTTCCTCCTCCTGGGGTCTTTAGAGCTACAACCCACCAACAAGCCCCACTGCTTGCTGGCTAATTTCATTTCTTTCCCCGAGAGATGCAGAATGCAGAATGACATGTATCCACACTATGGTGTCATACAGGTAGTTACACTGCCCTAAACCCCCCTGGTTTTGAAGTAGTTGGCAACGTGCCCAGTGCATCAGAAGCGGACAGTAAATGCCAGCCTCCCCTCCGTGTGTCTGGTCTTCAGATGGGACTTGTCTGCCCTCTGGTGGTCGGTGTTATGATTTCAGTTACTTTACACTGGAGCTTCTCGAAAACACTACACCTAGCCAGTGGCATCCGGGCACCCGCGCCTAGTCCCGAGTGCCAAGCAGCAGGATCATCCGATCCGAGGGAAGTTAGAGCAGAAAGGACTCTGCCCTGGGAGGCAGGCCATCTGGTCCTCATCCTTCACCCGGTCTGCCTGCTGGGTGACCTTGGACAAGTCACTGTGCCTCTCTGGGCTGAGCTGCTGGATCATACGGTTGGTTGGAGGCAGGGGACCTGTATGCTGGCTGGGGCTCTTTTTGGCTCCAGGGTCACATGGAAGCATTATCGGAAGCAGGAGCGAGGGGTCAGCCCAGAGGCTCACGGAGGGAGGCTGCCTCCCCTGGTGGAAGGCAGCCCCTAGTCCCCCCTCGGCGTCTCACGCGCTGTGTTTGCTTCCTTTGCAGCAGCTGCAGGTGGTGCCCCTATTCGGCGACATGCAGATAGAGCTGGCCAGATACATTAAGACCAGTGCTCACTATGAAGAGAACAAGTCCAAGTGAGTGCCTGCCGTAATGTCTCTTGGCTCCCGCGAGGCGCCCAGCCCGGGCAGGGGGCCGAGGGGCCACTTCAGTCCCTCCCCCCTCCCCAGAGCCCTGGGCAGGTGGATTCCAGAGGGGAGCAGTGGAGGGTGCTCTGAGCCCTTTTGTATCCACCCTTTGCCGCTGGGGTTCAAAAGTGCTCAGAGCACAGCCACGCCCCTTCTCCGTCCCAGCTGCACTGGGACACCAGGAATCCTTCATTGAGAAGCAAGATGACGTCCTTCTTTATCACCTGATTCCCTCCTCAGGTTTCGCGTCCATGCAGTAAGTATGCCGTAGCGTGTATGGTTTGGACAGCTCCAGCCGTGTGAACTGGTTGATGGCCTCGCTTTAGGTCGTTCTATAAATCACCATCCTAGGGAATCCACGCTAAGATCTGGGGTCTGGGGTGTCAGTGCCTCAAGGGAGTGGGGACACCCAGCTACAGCCTTTATCTCTGGGGGTTGTTAAGAGGTTTCTTCTGCCTGTGTCTCATTCCAAAGCTGGGTGGTTTTGACCTTTCCATATGGCGGCGGGGGTGAGGGGAGGGGGGGACGACGGGGCGGGTAGAGGAGGGGATGACCGTCCTTTAGTCAGGGCTAAGGCCTTAAAACTGTCAGCCTTTAGCCCAATGAAATCTGGGTTAGTCTCTTCATAACCCACTGGCTGCCAGAGAGGCGGGAGGTGTTCTAGGAAAAGCATGGAGTCCAGAATGCTGCACTCATTTCCTCACGTTTCTGCATGAATTCCCTGCCACCGGAAGTTGGTTGGGAGCAGTGATGCGGCCAGGGTGGGGCGGCAGCAGTCAGAGTGGTTGTGTCCCCACCCCTACGCTGCTGACCCGAAATAAAACCAGCATGAGGAAGCCTCTCACTGTCCTGAACATTCTGTGAGGGCCACTTCAGGGCTCCCTTTGAAATATTAAACCCCCCCCCCCCACACTGAGCCAAACTGGCTAGGTCCAGAGGGATCTTTTTCAGAGAGAACAGGAGTGGGATAGAGAGATAGAAACATCAATGATGAGGGAAAATAATTGATTGGCTGCCTCCTGCATGCCCCACACTGGAAATCGAGCCCACCAACTGGGCATGTGCCCTGACAGGATCAAACTGTGACCTCCTGGTTCATAGGTCAATGCTCAACCACTGATCCACACTGGACTGGGCTGAAATATTAAATTCTTGCCAAAATGTTTATCTGCCTTTTTTGGTGACTGTGCTTTTAATCGGTCTACCGGGTCACCCAGCACTAGAGGGCAAAGGGGGCTGTCTTTTTTCTCTTGGGGAAGGAAGACTTTCATTCATTCATTTCCTCTCCAATTCAGGCTGATTCCCCCAATGATAAGTTTAAAAATAATGGTTGAGGAGGAAGAGGTGGTAGAAGAAAAAGAGGATGAGGGAGAGAGAGAGAGAGAGAGAGGATGACCATGACCTCCCTCACCATGAAGTGCTTGCTTGCATGTTACTGGGTCACGGGTGAAAAGTCCTTCCCTTTAGGCCCCTCCAAAGCCGGTTTCAGCCCCAGGATGTCAGAGTCAGTAGGCAGGCTTGGGGAGGTCACCCGCCTTGCTTTTTCCTTGCGTGGATTCCAGGCCTTTGTAGCCCTAGAGAGGCTGCAATTCCCTTCTCACTCGTGTGACTGGTAAGTACGTGGACACCAGGAATCTGGAAAAGCCTGTGATTGGGTCCTAGAGGGGCCGGTTCGCTCAGCCTGTGAGCCACACGATGTGGGATGAACAGGCTGTCGTGCTCGTATCAGGGTTACCCCTTGGTTCTACCCAGGGGAGCCAGCCACCTTGGCCGGGCACCAGGAGCAACACGTAAGTGGAAGGAGCCTGTCCCGCCAGGCGCCTGAGACCAGGACCTGCTCCGACCCTGTGCTTCTCTGCCCAGGTGGACCTGCACCCAGAGCAGCATCAGCCCCCAGTACAATATCTGCGAGCAGATGGTTCAGATCCGAGATGACCACATCCGCTTCATCTCCGAACTCGCTCGCTACAGCAACAGTGAGGTGAGCTCAGTCTAGCTGCTGGGATGGAGGGCCCATGTGGGCCCCTGGTGAGAAGGGGTGAGGACCAAGCAGGATAGAAATGACCAGAGAGATGATGGAGAGCAGGAGTGAAGGATTACCTGCTAGAGGCAGGAGGGCAGAATGGCCAGGAGCATGGATTTTAGAGCCACACAGAACTGGGTTTGATTCTGGTTCTGCTGCTGACCATCACAAGTGACGCAGCGTCTCCGCCCCCATTTCCTCCTCTGCAGAATGAGGGTGATAGTATCCGGAAAGGTTCATTGAGAGGATTAAACCCTCTGACGTACGAAAAACACATTGCAGAGTAATTGGGAATTAATTGCTAGAACGTGTTCCAAACCATCTCCGCCCTAGATAGCAAGAGAAAGAGTTCTGAACAGGCCTGCTCATAACACCATCTAAATATTTTAAAATTACACAATAATGACTGATCATTGAACAAGCCAGAAAATACAATTAGGGACATAGTAAATGCTCAAACCTCAGACAAAACAAAAAGAGAGATGCAAAAGGAGGGAAAATCAGTCATGTAAGATCCTAACACCCAGAGCCGACTATGGTTGACATTTGAGTGAATATATACTCCTGAATCTCTTCCCTCTAAACCAGTGGTTCTCAACCTTGGCTGCACATTGGAATCACCTGGGAATCTTTTTAAAATCCTGGTTTCTGGGCTTCATCCTCCGGAAATTCTGTTTCTTTGTTACTAATGTTGTGGCCCCACCCCATAACAAAGAAACAGAATTTCCGGAGGATGAGGCCCAGAAATCAGGATTTTAAAAAGATTCCCAAGTGATTCTAATGTGCAGCCAAGGTTGAGAACCACTGCACTAAACCTTTCCAATGAGTGTATATATTGGTTTAATAGCACAGGTGCCCTGATTTGAGTTCCTTTGTTACCTGGAGCTCTTGAATGGATGACTGCACTGTCCCATGTTTGCTCACTGGTTGTACCATGTGGCTGGGAGCCATAGTGCCCATGCTTTCCAAACCCAAACTCGGAAACGCCTTGTATCACAGAGGCAATGTATTTGAAATGAGGACAGCCAGACAAATGCGGACAGTGTGGTCTTAGGCCAGTGGGCGTGGACCAGGGACAAGTGCAAACTCTTGGACTTTCTTAACCATATGTGCCAGTCAACTGAACTAAGGCTGTGGGACCCCTACTTTAAGAGCAGGGGTCTCCTTTATTTCTTGTGAAGTTTTGGTTGTGGTCTAAGAATGAGTCTGGCCCAAAGTTATTTTTAAATCATACGCTTTATATGTGTGTATATGCAGACCATTCTCGTTATTTGCAATAATGTTCTATGAAGTGGCCATGAACACTGAATTAACCAATTCTGAACCATTGCTCCCGGGGGAAATACAGGGTTAGGTTCCTGTATCTGGTCACAACCCTTTCATCATCCGATCAACCTTGTTGCTTTTCTGATTAAAGTCACCTTATGTAATAGATGTTGTTTCATGAACATTAACTCACTCAGCAGGACACTGTCCGAGCCTCACTTTATCTGTGAAGGGGATGTCATAAAGCATCTTTTTGTAGCAATCTTAGGGGAATCAATGAAGTAATGCATAAAAGTGCCGGGCACGTGAATGGTGGGGGTGACGGCTCATGCTCCCCAGGTGGTGACGGGCTCGGGGCTGGACAGCCAGAAGTCCGATGAGGAATACCGCGAGCTCTTTGACCTGGCCCTGCGGGGCCTGCAGCTCTTATCCAAGTGGAGCGCCCACGTCATGGAGGTGGTAGGTGCCCCAGTCGGAGGCTGCCCCTCCCCGGCCCCTTCAGACCGACCTCGGTTCACTTGGAACCTGTCTGCCTCTGCCTTCCCCAAACATCCTTTTTATAGCAGCTTTACTGAGATACAATTCCCATGCCATGCCACTCACCCATTTAAAATGTAGAGTCCCTGGTTTTCGGTATATTTACAGAGTGGTGCAATCACACATTTAGAGGATTTTCATCACTGCAAAAGTCAATTGCACCCCCCTCCCTCCGTGCCCTGTCTCCCCTGCCCTAATCTTTCTGTCTCCATAGATTTTCCAAGTCTGGTTATTCCCTAAAGTACATCCTATATTATGTGGTCTTTTGTGGCTGGCCTCTTTTACTTTGTATGGTTTCATCCATCCATCCTGTAGGATGAATCAGTACTTTATTCCCTTCAGTGGCTGAATAGTCTCCCAGGGCATGGTCACACCTCCTTTTGTCTGTCCATTGCTCCACTGATGGACATTTATGTTGTTCCCCACCCCCCAACCTCCACCCAGTATTCCTGGAAGCTGGTTCACCCCACCGACAAGTTCTGTAACAAGGACTGCCCGGGCACGGCCGAGGAGTATGAGAGAGCCACACGCTACAACTACACCAGTGAGGAGAAGTTCGCCTTTGTGGAGGTAGGTGCTGGTCTCCTCCAGCCCCGAGGCTGCTGCTCAGGGTCCCGCAGTGGGAGGGAGTGGTTTCCAGCAAGACGGCAGCCTTGGTCCCCTCCTGTGCATGCACTTCCCGTCCCCTTCCTGCCCCCCCAATTCATCTCTGTCAGGTTAGTCACAAACGATTAGAAACTCATTCTGTTCTTAAAAATCCAAAGGAAAGTGGTCACTCCACTAGAAAAAAAAATGGGCAAAAGGAAAACAGCAGCAGAAACAAACCAACCAAAAAATGGCTGAAAGAGTTCAGAGAGAAAAAAAAGAAAAGCTCAGAAAAATGCCCAAACCAATGAGTGTTCAGAGAGAACTGCAGATTGAAACTAAGATGAGGTAGTGTTGTTGACCAGTCAGGATGGTAAGGACTTCAAAGGTTGGTGATGCCTGTGGCTGGGTGAAGCGTGGGAAATAGACCTTCTCAGAGACTGGGAAGCCCATCTACATTTTACAGTCTTTCAATGAGGGCAGTCTGAGTGGCTGAACCCAAATGTTTAATGTGCATACCCTTTGGCCCAGAAGGTTCTGGAAATATATCCCAGGGAATTAAGCCAATTGTACAAAGACTTGTGCACATAGATATTTATCACAGTATTGTTTATAATACCAAAATTTGTGAAACGACTGAAATGTCCTCAGTATGGGACCAGGTAAAATAAATGAAGGTACCGCTATGCCATCGAAAACTGTGTGGCCACTAAGATGGATGTACTGATGTAGAAAGATATGCACAGTGTGTTGTTGAGTTTAAACAGGTTAAAGAACAGCATGTAAAAAATGACCCCATTTATAGTAAAAGTGATATACTTTTGAATATTTACTCAAAACTAAAAGACATAAGTTTTTATATTGACAGTGGTAATTTCTGTTTGTTTCATTGCAAAAAGATATTTCTATTTGGGGGAGACTCATTCACACTCAGTTGTGAGTGACAGCTACCTCTTTCATGACCACCTGACGCCTAGAAGTCAGAGACCTGGATGCTAGCTCTGGGCCCAAGGTCACTTCATCTCTCAGAGCCTCAACTTCCTTATCTGTAAAATGGACCCGACAGTTTCTACCCACTCATCCCAGGGTTATTCTTGAGAACCAAACAACAGTTGTCAAAGGGGATAATGATGTCGATGAGCTATGGAAGCCGGAAAGGGTCAGAGCATAGCAGGAGTTCAGGTCGCTCTTTTGTACATCTCCAGGCTGCACCTTAAAGGACTGGGGCTCAGGGGTGTAATTGTAATCATACTTGGCCTGGAGCTGAGCGCTCCCCGGACCTCCTGGCACTTCCACTGCTAACGGGTGTGATAAGTGTGGTGTTGTCATGAGGCTGATGTAGCACATGCTTTCTTCTCTGAATTCTGAATCAAGGAATTAGCACTTGAGGCTAACGGGAGTCGGGGTGGGGGGTTAAGGATTAGGTTTGTTGCTGGTAAAGCTGGACCAGAAATTGTGCCTGCCACTCAGTGCCACACCAGACTTCCTATTTCTCCCCCATCCCATTAAACGCACCCACTGGGAAACAGGCAAAGCAGCTACAGAAATACATGCTCCCTTCCTGGGCCGAGAGGGGATGATTAAGAGAAGACAGGAACCCAGGGGAGAGGACACTCGCCCTGGTGGCAGGCAGATCCCAAGATCCCAAAAGAGAGCACCAAGGGCTATACTCATCACAGACACCAGTCTCCCCACGTCTGCAGGCGGATTAGTGAGTTAGGGGCTGGGGAGGAGGCAACTAGAGGGGCAGAGGCTCCCCCCCTGAGTCTTCTACAGGAACCCTATTTTATGGGTTCAAGCAGCAGCTGGCCAAATTATTTCAAAAGCAAAGATTGTAAAAATTCTTTTAAAATGTGCATGATTAAAAAAAAAAGTTCTATTAGATATGGCCTGTGGGTGCATGCTGTGTGGAGAGGCCACAGAAGTCAGAGTGGCACTCAAAATGCGGTCCATGGACCAGCTGCCGTTGGTCACCAGTCCGCAGCAAGGTAGGGAGCTGGTGCCGGAATGAAAATCGGCAGCGACATCTTTGCTTGGCCGCAGGGCTTTCCTGATGGAGGGGCAGTGTGCTGATTTCCGTTCCAGCACTCGCTTCTAACCTAGCCGTGGATCGGCACTCGAGGTAGCACTGGCTGGCCTCGTGCTCCTGGCATCTCACCCAGCGCCCCCCCCACGATGCGGTGAAGGGTACTGGACAGACAGGTGTGCCCAGGTGGGGGGACCCTGACCTTGATCTGTGCCCGGCAGGTGATCGCCATGATCAAAGGCCTGCAGGTGCTCATGGGCAGGATGGAAAGCGTCTTCAACCAGGCCATCAGGAACACCATCTATGCGGCCTTGCAGGACTTTGCCCAGGTGACGCTGCGCGAGCCCCTGAGGCAGGCGGTGCGGAAGAAGAAGAACGTTCTTATCAGGTGGGTCTTCCGATGGCCCTTTTCAGGGGCACATCGGAAATCAGGGGTGCGAGGTGCAGAGCACAGAGGAAGATCCCTGCTCAGTCAGCTTCTGGGGCAGCCTCTGAACACACAGACCCGTCCGTCAGGTTTTAGGAGACCTTCTTAGGAGACTGGACATTTGAGATGACTGGTCCTCGGTCCCTGGGTTGGAAGCCCATCTCCACCGCTGTCTAGTTAGGTGAACCCCGTCAAGTTACTTACCTTCTCTGAACCTCACTTTCCCTCATTTGTAAAATGTGGATGATAGTGGTTCTTGCTCATAGGCTGTTGGGATGATAACATTGGATAATCCACATGTAGACCTAAGCACACAGCCACATGGAGTAAGTGTGCAATGAATATATGCTACTGTTAAAGCTTTAAATAATCAGAGATATAATTGGACTAATGAGACTCTCCTATAACCAAAAACAGAAACAGCCATCCTGCCTCACTTGAGTTCTTAGCCCCTGCACAGGCTCAGAGCTGAGGTCTCAGGTAGCGTTTGGCATTGGGATCACCTGGGCGCCTGTAGAATGCTGACTCTGGACTGCACCTGAGATCTGTTACACCAGCATCTCGGGGGTGGGGCCCAGGATGAGCACCTTTGACAAGCACCCCAGGAATTCTGGGAAAGTGGCCCTGGGGCACCACAGACCCTAGAAACAGGCTTTTAGTGTTTCCCTCCTGCTGGTGCTAAAACCAGGTCTGAGCCTCCGTCCTTCCTTCCCAGTGTCCTGCAGGCAATTCGGAAGACCATCTGTGACTGGGAGGGTGGCCGAGAGCCCCCCAACGACCCATGCCTGAGAGGGGAGAAGGATCCCAAAGGTGGATTTGACATCAAGGTGCCCCGGCGTGCTGTGGGGCCCTCCAGCACACAGGTAAGCGGCTCTGGGCACAAGCCAGCTCTGCTGCCTCTGTCCAGCCAGCCCTGGTAGGTCATCCTGGCTGGACCATAGGGCACTGGGGCTGGGGTTCCTCGGGCAGGAGGGGCAGGGTCAAGCAGCTGCTCTAGTCTTATTCTACCATCTTGTTTTGATATAGGAGGGAGGACCGCTGGCTTAAGATTCAGGAGACCTGGATTCTCGTCCTAGATACCTGTGTGACCTTGGGCACGTTATGTAATCTCTTTGTGCCTCAGTTGTCTAATCTGGCAAATGGGGGTAATATTAGGACTGGTTCCAAAGTGTAGGAGGAGTTTGAAGTAGACTCTCTGTGCATCTGCCCTGTCCCTCTTTAATGAACCCTGCCCCTTCCCCTGCAGTGACATCCTAGCTTGGGAATTCACAGGTTCTGCCTCTGACTTGCCCTGTGATCTTGGGAGGTGCTGGCCTCTCCGAGCTCTATCTTCTCTGTTAAATGAAAACGTTGCATGAAATCATGTTTCTGATTAGATCCTTCTTTTTATTCACCCCCGTGACCCCAGAAGGACAAGTGTCAAAAGCCCCTTGACTCCTTAGAGAATGTCTAGTAATCAGAGATATTCAGAGTTTCCAACTGGAGCTTCTGAACAACAGGTTACCTGTGTCTTATCCAAAACAGTTGTAAAATTCCAGGGGGAAAAAAATAAAGAATCTGGGCATCTTAGTTAAATCTGTCATCTACTTAAAGGTCAGCTAGTTTTCGGTAGTTTACGAGGTGTTGGGGGAAAGCATATGGCTCCATGGAAGTGTTTAAAGGTCGTCCAGGCCCCGGAAGCCCCAGGCTGGGGACTCCCACTTCACATGACCTTTCAGCCTCTCTCCGCCCTGAAATCCTGAGTCCCTGAGAGGAGCCATCCCTGACCCTTCTCACTGTGTGTGTGTCTGTGTCTGGGCAGGGGGACGGGGCAGAGGGCCAGGGGCGAGGTGTGTTCTCAGCTCTGTCATCATTAACATCCCCTGGCTTCCCAGCTGTGGTCAGTGTGCACTCGCCTTGCCTGCTGGTTGTGGACCGTCCTGAGGAAGCTTCTGCAAAGAGTTCTGTGTAATGTTAGGGGCCAGAGACCTTTCTATCCCAGAATGCCCCAGAGGAGCTGAGCAGGGCTTTCAGTGTTTCTGTGAGTCCTAGACATGAGTGAGGGTGAGACAGACCAGGCATAAGAGAAACTGGAAAGGAGGAAGGTGAGCAATGGGGACCAGCAGGCAGAGAAAGAGACAGAAGAGAGAGGAGAGAGCAGGACTATTTATATAGATAAGCGAAAGGTGCATGTCACCAGCAATCAGCTCCCCAGTACCACCGAGTCATGTTAGGTGGCACAGATGAATTTAATAGGCTCCTAGACAGTCAGAGCTGGGAGCACCCCTAGAGACAAACTAGTCCCAGGCCCCTCCCCCCATTTTACAGATGGGGAAACTGAGGTCCAGAGAGGGGAAGTGACTTGTCCAAGCCGCAAGGTGAGTCACAGGTTGAGGTGGGACAAGAACCAGGTCTCCTGACTCCCACCCAGGGCTCTGCTAGAGACTTCGGAGCACAGTCAAAATGGGCATCCAGCATAGCTGGACTGTCCTGGTGGGTCAAATGCTCTGTTTAAAAGGAGGTGGGAAAAGAGTTCCCCCTCTTATGGACAAGTCGTTAGAATTTGATATAAATCAATCAACACTCACATGGATGGACATAAGAATGCTTTCTTCGAGGCCTCCTAGGCCATCGCTAGAACAGGGCTTCTCGGTTCTTAGGGGTGATAGACATGCCCACCGACAGGGTTGCAGAGGGTGGACGTCTGATAGACCGGCATCCATGGTAGCTCCTTTACCGCGATGGGAAGGCTATGGTAGGATGGTGCCGCTCCTTTCTGTGGCCTCGCTGCCCTGCGCAGTGCGCATGGTGGGTGAGGTCCCAGAGAAGGATGGACCTGTGGCAGAGGGAGGTTGGAGCATCTCAGAGGTGGTCGGCAAGTGGCCCCTAGCAGTCGTGACGGCTTTCCCACCGTATACAATACCTCTTGCTTTTCTCTCTCTCTCTCTTTTCTCTCTCTCCCTCTTCCCTGTCTCTCCTGCCCTCCCACCCCCTTCTCCTCTCTCCTATCTATGTCTTAGGCCTGCCAGTGGTCCCCGCGGGCTTTGTTTCACCCCACTGGTGGCACACAGGGCCGAAGAGGCTGCCGATCCCTGGTATAACACCGCCTGGCTGGGTTGGTTTGGGTACACTTCTCCAGTCCAG